GACCCAATATCTGTATGTTTATCCATGGAAGTAATAACAGAATTCCAGTGCTTCAGCAGCATTGTCTGCAGTGATACAAGGGGGTTGTGTTTGTAGAGAATAGAGATTTAGCAAAGGAAGGAGAGGAAAGAGATTCAGACAGTCTTACCGGAGACAGTTTCTGAATGAGGTCATGGGCCACATGCACCAAATTCTTATCCTCCTGCATGTGCTTCTGGAAACGCCGGCTCTCTTCCTCCTCCAGCAGGTCGAAGTCGTTGGCTGCATCAAGCAGGGCCTGGATGAGCCCTTTCCATGAGCGGAGAGCAGGAACCTGGGGAGCTACTGCAGAGCTCACCCCCGTGCCAATCACCAGGACAAGCTCGGGGGCACGCTTGGTCTTTAGGCTGGGCAGCAATTTCCTTTGGGGCAGGCAGAGATTGAGTGATGACGGTTCCAAATACGATGCTTCCCCAATCCCTCTGACAGCATGAAGGTTAAATAAAGCATTTTCAAGCCTGCCAGCATGCACTTTTTGGAACTAAAACCTACATTTAATTCAGTTAGGCCTGGCAAAGATTTTAATCAGTTCTGCTAAAAAAAAAAAAATCTTGAATATGTAATAGAAGCAATGTGCAGGTGCACCTGAGCTTACCTGGGCTTCTTAGCATTTGACTCTGCATCCTGAGAATCAGCTGCAGGTCGCTTCTCAGTTTTCACTGCTACAACAGAGGCCATTCAGCTCCTTTAAGAAACATGAACAACCAGTCAATCTCCTGGAAAGGAGCAGCTGTGGCCAATTTAAACAATGACTAGTTAATACCACTTTGTGATGATGCTGATCACTCGAATTTTAACTTCAATTGATGCAAATATTAGTTTTTTTTCCCCCCTACTGGAAGTAGATGGTTTTGACATTATTTCCTAGATATAAATCAAAAGTATAATGGTAGAAATCTTTAATGGTGTTCCACAAGGTTTATTTCATTTACCCTATATATAACCACGAATAGAGCAATATGAATCTACATTTTCTCTTCTATGCTGATGTCTTTTAAGGTCCATCCATCCATCTTCTTCCGCTTATCCGGGGTTGGGTCACGGGGGTAGCAGCTTCAGTAGGGAGGCCCAGATGTCCCTCTCCCCAGCCACTTGGGCCAGCTCCTCGGAGGGAATCCCAAGGCACTTCCAGGCCAGCTGAGAAACATAGTCCCTCCAGCGGGTCCTGGGTCTCCCCCTGGGCTTCCTCTCGGTGGGACGTGCCTGGAACAGCTCACCAGGGAGACGTCCAGGAGGCCTAATCAGCCCAAGCCACCTCAACTGGCTCCTCTTATGCGGAGAAGCAGCGGCTCTTCTCTGAGTCCTCCCCAGATGATTGAGCTCCTCACCCTATCTCTAAGGGAGAGCCCAGACACACTACGGAGAAAACTCATTTCAGCCGCTTGTATCCAGGATCTCATTCTTTCGGTCATGACCCAAAGCTCATGACAATAGATGAGAGTAGGAATGTAGATCGACCGGTAAATCGAGAGCTTTGCTTTTTGGTTCAGCTCTCTCTTCACCACAACAGACCGGTAGAGGGCCCGCTTCACAGCAGACGCCGCACCAATCCGCCTATCGATCTCTTGCTCCATCTTCCCCTCATTCGTGAACAAGACCCTTGTCTTTCAAGGTGAACGCACAAAACAATTGAAAGGCTAATACTAAATTTATCATGGAAATAAGTTCCATTTTGCTTTTATAAGATAAACAACCTATTTAGTAGACAAATTGTATATAAATGCATCTGCTAAATGTTTCCATATTATGTATAGTGGACGTTAAAGCAATAAGTCTGTTTTTTTTCGTCATCTTATTCTTTTCTACAGTCACTGGACTTGAACACATGTTCAGAACTGCAGTCATAAGTATGCTTTGCATTACTTCCTGCCTTTTTGTCAAGTAAAAAAAAAAATTGATTGACACTTTCAAAATGGTGGTTAAGAGTAAGGACTACGTGTAAGGGTGAGGGTAAGAAAGTTCTTGGGTTTTTGGTAGCTGATGCTTTGGGCTATCTTTAGTCTGAATCCCAGTTGTGTTTCTTAATGCTTTGGAGGAGAGATTTTAGATATTACTTAGACAAAATTAACAAATAAGAATAAATATATTTTCATTTGATCATCAACTGCATGACATTGATAAATCCTCAAATGGTGCCCATTTTCTGATGACTATAATTTGACATAAAACTAGTTGCTCTCACTCTACCTCAGATCCATTAAAATGAGTGTCTGACACTTTTTGACTTTTACCTTATGATCCATGTCAGATATGAACTAAACTTAAATTTATTTTGTCATTTTGCATACACAAGTGTATACAAAAAGAAATTTAGTTTAAAACAGCTTTAGGCAATTTCATTTCTTAAAGTGCAGCCTTGAAAAACAGTAATAAATACATAAAAAATAGTAATATAAACATATGACCAATAATAATAAATAAATAAAACAACCAACAAATAGTTCTTAACAATATTGCTACACAACATGACTATGATGTAATGGCACAATGAGAACATGTTATACAAGTTGAATCAGAGATAAAACCATCACTGACACCTCATCAAACAAATGCTCTACTAAAAACTTTACAATTCTTACCCAATAGTGTCCTTTCCTGTAAACAGGAAATGTTTTACTCATTCTTTTAAGAAACACTCCTTTCCTGATGGGAAACTGTAAAACTAATTTTTTTTTTTACTTTTTAACAAAAGTGTTTTGCTTCAAATTCATATTATTCTAAATAATGCTTCTTTATTCAATGTTTATTTTAGAAACCTGGTTTAATCACCTTAGATTTCCTGGAACAAACAGCAGTAAGGTGAATTTTGTTTGTGACGTGTCTTACATAATATAACATTTTCAGTAAGATTAAATAAAGAAGCAGGTATAAAGGTAACTTACCTTGCACCAGGTGACTCCAGTGTTCGCCTCAGTTCGGATGTTTTGGTTCTTTTAATTAAAGCTCAGATACAAAACAGTGAAGGTTGAATTTGATCCACTTTAAGTAGTTCAGGAATCGATCAGCCTTCGTGGCGTTTTTTGTTTTTCTTCCCTTTTAAAGGTCTTGATTTGAACCCGATGGATAGTCGCCACAGTCTTAAAAAATAAAGGTCGGCGTTAGGGAGGCAGTGCTGTTTTATCTTGTGAGATTGTTATCGTTTTAAAGTAAGTTAAGAAATCCAAAGTTGTCAAACGTTAATTATTCCGCCGCTGCTGGTCATTCTGACGGTAACTACTCGCGTCTATTTCATTGTTTCCAACTAAAACATGTTTTTTCTTCTCCCTAATGGGAACCGTTGTGTATCTCCAGTTAAAGTCGCCGTCAGCTCCTCTCCTGTCTGTGTGGTGTCTAACGGCCGCCCGCGAGCGCTAATGTGCACCGGTTTTAATGACGCATTTACTTGCTGTAGTAAATTTCTATTACGCTGTTGTAACAGTTTCAAAATCCGGTATTTAAAACTTGAAAAAGTGAAATCTTCCTGATCAATGTAAATCATTAGCTTCCCCAACTTATTTCCTCATACTGCATATTTTAAGGCTTACTCTGCTTTATTGTATTTCAAGGTTTATCAGACCCCTAACTTTTACCAAATGTATATGAACGCAGCATGAGACCCAACCACATATGGTTTTGTCTAAACGCAACAACCAAGTGCTTACATCATTTAAGATGCATGCCTTGAACACATTTATTGGGTGTAAAAAAACGTTTACCCTTTATTAAAATCATTGTTAAACGTGTTGATAATATGGTAGATTAAAAATAAAGCATTTCACTCTGCAGGTTTGGGCAATGATGTCAGTTTATAGTAAAGCAAAGTTATTTTTTGTTGATAAAAAAAACAAAAACGTTTTATTAGATTTGGCAAATGTATTCACCACACGATAGGTTTCACAATCGGGCTTTTTGCCTCGTAGGAAATCAATATATTTCCTCAAGAATTTACGAACAGCACCACGTCAGCATAATACACTACAAAAAAACTCAAACACTACTACGCTCCCATCTGCTGTTCAGAAAATAAACTGCATGCAGAAGGTTGACTGAATCCCTTCTACACTTTGAAAAAAAAAATAGAATCATTCAAGATAATAAAAAAAAAAAGGATTAAATCTACTTTATATGCATTTATTTCTACAATAACTATTTAGAGGGCAGGTATCTGCTGTGATGACTGTACAGCCATCAATCACAGCAATCCAAGTTCACTAGACCTCCACCAGACGTACTGCGAGGCATAAAAGTCCTGCTATTTTTTTAACATAACATTTGCTTTCCCCACTTAAGACCTCAACTTTAGAAAAAGATTTTTCTAACACGTTGACTTACCAAAAAGAAACAATCCAAAATCATAACACTGCACACAAAAAGGGAATTATCCAAAGATTTAATCTATATAGCGCAAAGATTTTACCTTTTGGTTTAAAGCAACTTTAAAAGGAAAACAAATAATGTCCAAAAAATCAGTACTGAATAAATCTTTAATGTCTCACTGGTTCACTCTTCAGTCTATACATAGCAATGTATATGAGGATACAATCAAACTCAGAAGGTCAAACCTTTTGTTGGGCAACAACATTCACAGACAATTTTGTAGGTCAATTAATTCCGTTTTTCAAAGCATGGCTGAAACTGAAAGTTACATCTTTACCACATCTGAATGTCCGTCAAAGGCCCACCGTTCATCTCCAAACAGTAGATAAACACATACAGGTCACTTAGGATAAATCAAGTACATTTTTCACTCTCACAAGCAATTCCTGTAGCTTCTTTCTTACTGAACTTAAAAAGGTCAGAAATCTAAAGTGGCAATGTCTCTAAATAGAACAGACATGTCTGAGTAGTCACCATTTCCCTTTTGCGTTTTGCAGCATTGTAACCATGACCGACAGATTTTTCTATTTCAGTTCTGGAGTGAGTCATTATTCGCAATATATTGATTGTAAAAAGAAAACAACTTAATAAAACTAACCGTCAAAAATGGATGATCAAAAGCTTTGAAGTAGACATGGCTAAATTAGTGCAATTCCAAATTAATTTGAAATCCCTCATTGATCAGAGTAAAATGTATGGAATCCAAAGTTAAAATACAAAGATTATCTGACGGCCTTCTATACTTAGAGGCTCTACACAGAGATGGAGCCTTCTCTGAAATTAGTCTTCCCAATCAAAACATTGAGAAGTGCAGCCTTGCCCTCTTTGGCGTCCTTTTGAGCCTGTTTGATGAGGCTCGTTAGCTGGTCCTCGTTTTCCCGTCCAACAAGGTAGCCCTTACCGCCATAGCCATCGGCCACTATGTGATAATCTGCAAGATAAGCAAAGATCATACATTTCACTATGTAGCTGTCATGTAGCGATGGGCAATGCAATATTGTGGATTTACCAAGATGGACATGACAGTGGCCAAAATGTACCTGTAAAAGCAAGGCCACATGCAACATTACTGCCAAGGATGGGGACCTGCTCTCTGGATATCTGACTCCAACACGCATCGTTCCCAACCACAGATATAACTGGCGTCTGGAGAGGAAAAAAATCAAGTAAAAAAAACATTGAAATGACAACATGACATAAAAATATGAGCTTCATCAGCCTTGAATAATGTTCAACAAGTTTTGGGTTGTTTGGATTATTAAAGATAACATGCGTTTATTTCTTCCAGTGAAATGAGGGTTTTCTGCCAAAAGCTCCTAATTAGGGACAACTAAATCGGTTGCCTGATGGCGGAAGGTTGTGGAACTCTGAGGACACAGCATAGAGCTAGAGGTCACGCATCAAGGTTGTTTTTTATTCAAACTTCTCAGACTAACGCTTCATTATATTTTGCCTTTGTCAGAGGCGAAATGCATCTATTTGGAAACATCTGGGTGGAGCTCGCCAATGTGTTCCTTAGCCACATGCTCAACATTTCTCAAGTCACACAAATCACAACCGCATAGTTAAAAAAAAGGAACGTCATAAAGTTGAAAATCGCTGACAGAGCAGCTGTGTAAAAGATGAAACGGTCTGCATGCTGAGCTCCACCCTCTGGTCTCACCCATAGGCGAGTTATTATGTTACTTAAAAATTTCTGCCATGAATCCAACAGCTTTGGGTTGTTTCAAATTACACATCTTAACACCATCTTCCCTTTTCACTTATGAAAACACAGATTAAGTTAAAACGTTAGTCCATATTTACGTCGGCACTACAGAAGCTGAAAATTGACCTGATCTTCTAAAAGATATATTTTTGGAGTGGATAAGAGAAAGTAAAGACTGCCATTTTACACTACCGTTCAAAAGTTTGGGGTCACATTGAAATTTCCTTATTTTTGAAGGAAAAGCACTGTACTTTTCAATTAAAATAACTTTAAACTAGTCTTAACTTTAAAGAAATACACTCTATACATTGCTAATGTGCTAAATGACTATTCTAGCTGTAAATATCTGGTTTTCAGTGCAATATCTACAAAGGTGTATAGAGACCCATTTCCAACAACTATCACTCCAGTGTTCTAATGGTACAATGTGTTTGCTCATTGGGTCAGAAGGCTAATTGATGATTAAAAACCCTTGTGCAATCCTTGTGCATATTTAAGCTAGAATGATTTGACATTTAAATACGATTTCCCTGTGACTTTAAGCCTCCTACACGGCTGTTTCTGTTTCAGTTCAATGTTTCTATGATATTGATAATTATTAGCACCCGTTTGGTATAGTTGGTTCATTACACACCTGAATATAATCCTACAAGTATACCTATAAGAATCAACACTGGTTTAAGGACAAAAGGTAGTGACACCAAATATTGATTCGATTTAGACTTTTATTTTCTCTTACTTTGAAATTTGTAAATTAATTTAAAGAAACAGTCATTTATATTTCTGAAAGGATTCTTTGTTTACAGCATTTGACCTCACTTACGATGGTGACATTGACTAGACAAACCTTGCTTAATCAGTCTGTCCAATAATCAAAGGCAGGAAACAAAGGAGCTGTTTGAATTTAAGGAAGTAGTGGAGTTGAGCATAAGGTCCATTCAATTTAATATTCAGGTTTATTTTGCTGTTATTTTAAAAACAGAGCAGTGTAGCCTAGTAACTACTCTAGACGGCTAGTTTGTTTGTTAGCCTATACATGAAGAGCTTTGCTACAAACGTTATTAGTTGCAGTTATTCTTCACAGAAGTCCGACCAGCAGGGGACAGCAGCTATTAGCAGTAGTTGGTACCGGACATAAAGAGGGACTCATAAAGAGGGAGCGTGATAATCCATGTTTACCTGCACTGTCTGCCCCTTGTTTGTTTTTTCTTTTGCTTTTATTTTCCCACAAAGCAGATGCATTTACTTTGTAACCACGTCTCTCCTCCTGTCAGACCCATGAAATTCCCACTGAATTGCTGCATAGTCTGATTAAAATAGACCCGAGGTCCACTGTGTTTACTCCTACTGACTCTCAATGAGTGTGAAAAGCCATGACCTCATCAAACACAATTTTCTGTGGGATTGAATGCAAAATAGGCTTTTGTGTGTTCGGTACTTTATGCCTCATTGCTGCTGAAGAAAAAGGTGTGACCCATTCTTTAATCCAATGAATAATTGTGTCTATTACTGCGTGAAAGATTCATACCTTGTGCCGTGTAAACGTGTCATACTCTGCAACACTGTAGCCCAGGGAGCCGTCTCCATATACTATCCACACCTGCACATCATGCAGAAATCACCATGTCTTTGCATCAGGGTTGAAAAGTAAAAGTTTAAATAAATACACATCCAGTGTAATCATCATACCTCAGATTCAGGACGACATAATTTTGCTCCCAAAGCAAAACCTCCCCCAACTCCCAGAGTCCCAAAGGCTCCTGCAAGGATCCAAGAGATTCAGAAAAAACATAACATAGCTACTGGTCGGCCAGGAGCACAGTTCGGGCAATAAATAATAACTAACTGGAAGAACTTACTGTATTTTTCCTGCTTTTGTTAGCATCAAATAAACCCCCTGCCCCCCCTACTTTAATTAGCTGGGGTATTACCTGGATCTAACCAACGCAGAGGTCCTCTTGGTCTCATTATATAAGCAGCACTGCCTACAAAATCCCCACCATCTGCTACAATGATGCTGTCCTCTGCCATCAGCTCATCCACACAGTGGAGGACTTTTAAGGGATTTAGGTGGTGCTCCGTCTTCTCATCAGCTTTAGCTCTAAAATGTATTGAGAAATGGCTTTATAGTACCAGTTCTTTTTTTTATCAAAATGCACGATGTGTGCAGAGATTCCCACCCCTGCTCACCTGTTTGTCTTTTCTTTGGTATAATCTCCAGCTTTAAGGCTCTGAGGCCATTCTTCAGGACAGCGATGGCCCTTCAGCCCCTTGGAGAGACGGACAATGAAAGACCCAGCGTCACCTAAAACAATAAAATGCATAAATACGTCAGACTCCACCTCAAAAGGCTTTATGTTTTCATGTGTAAAAAACACAAAAGAAAAACATTTGGTTTTATTATCTATTCATCTTTTACAGAAATGTAAAAGTGACACAATCCTGTTTTCAACAGTGTAGCGATCAGAAATGTCACCCTCTTCTTCTGTGCACAGCTCTGAATGCTGTAGGAAATGTGAACTTTGTTTTTATCCTAAGTTCCAGTCTTTTTTACAAACCCAGACCTGACAAATGATCAAAGTAGCTATTAAGTCATAAGAGGTCTTTTTCCAGGTCTTTTAGGACTACAAAGGAAATCAGATTATCTTGTTAATAATCCAGTTTTAATGATGAAGAGTAAGGCATTACTGTAATGAAAACATAGTTTGCATAATAAATTACCCTGAATTGCTATAGTTGGTTTCCAGAACATGTCAGAGTTTTTCAGCAGCTGGGACTTGTCTCTGTTGACAGCGATGACCTTGCTCCTCCTGCTGAGAACTCTGCCGTAGCTCAATCTGAAGTCACATACTGTGCCTGCAAAAAGATAAACAAAAATTAATAACAATCTTGAACCAACTAGTCAAATGATGCAGTTTTCCCTCTCTGTGTATTTCATTATGAACTCAAAACCCTCCTGATCTTGTTGCTCTTTGGAAATTTGTACATTTTTTTTCACCTTAGTGTAGACCGCCATGAACTGTAGAACCTAATTTTAAAAAAAGAAATAGAATACATGGTTCTCAGCTACTTAGGAAATTAATTGAAAAGCGGTGCGTTTATCAGTATGTAACACACTGATGCTAACCACTTAATCCTGCTGTTAAACCTGAAAGTCTTTTTGGTGTATGTCATTACCAACTTTAGACATCTAAAGGTGGAAATTACAGCCCACCTTCATTCTGAAAAATCTCAGAAGATTGGATGAATAACTTCAGTGAACAACAGCTTTCAATTCTTATCACAGATCAACTACATTCTGGTTTGAACTTTGATGTTTATATTTGATTCATTAAATTAACTACTTCAATGTTCCTGATAACAGGGTTCCTACAGCATAAGGCAAGTTCAATTCAAGACTTTTTAATGCCACTTGAAATAAAAATGTAAGACCAAATTCCCAAGAAACACAAGAAAAACCTGCTTGCAACAACTTAACCCAAAGGTTTATTAACATAAACCACTGCACTAATGTTTTAAATTTTGAAAAGCTTCCCATACAGGAAGAAAGCTAAAAACACACAAATGACAGATATATTTGAACAATTATTTAACTGAATTCACAAACTTTGTTTTAGTAGGGAACAAAACAAATCAGTTTTAAAGCCACAACATAACCAGTGCTAAGTCTTTTTTGCAGCTATTTTTCTTTGTATCGTTTTCTTAGTACGTTTGATTTGGTGATAAGTGGAGGCGTTGCAGAGACAAGGGTGGAACAAAACAGAAATACCGGCTGTTTCTCGGTAACTCGATTCTGACAATTTGTGGTTCTTGCTTCGCATGTGCGACTCCACTGCCTTATTTCCCATCGTTCCAAGCTTGAATTACTTCTTGCACAAAATACACTGTGCCTCATGTATGTTCCCTGGTACTGGTTTTAGCCATGGAGAAAACTCTTGGCTCGATAGACAATTTGGTTACATTTACACTTGGTCATATTTTCCAGAGAAAAAGTTAATGGCGCATCTCCCAAATGTCCCGGCCGCAACAACGCTTTTATTGGTTCCGCTATCGAGACGGAACCAATAATGGCAAGCCGTTATTTTTTTTTTTTATGAAAAGAAAAAAACAAAATTGTCAATTTTAACGTTTTATTTAGATTACAAAAATAAATTGTAATAAACATAATCCTATTTATAATGTTTGAAAAATTAAGACCTACGAAAGACTGATTTAAGACATTTTAATACCAATTAAGGCCTTAATTTTATTTTGAAGAATTCAATGCCTTTTAAGATTTCTTAAGGACCCGCGGGAACCTTGGATAAAGAGAGGTACCCCCACAGCATTATTCTGCCACCGTCATGTTTGACTCCTCATCCCCATAGTTGGAGCTTAAGCCAGGCATACAGACTACGATTTTTTGTCCTTTTCTCCAGTCGTGCAAGAATTTTTTTTAACGGGTCAACTTTCAGCCTGATTGTGCGTCAAGTAGTGTACAGGGGGTAACGAGAGGCGATCAGCCTCTCACGACCACCTCCCAATCAGGAATTGTGAAGTTGGGAGAAAATCAAACACATTCATCTTCATGAAGCTTATTTAAGTTCTCTACCAAACCTGTAAAGCCTTCATACAACAGCTCTACACAGGTGAACATTATAGGATTGTATTTTATGTGTAAGAGTCAATGGGTTTAAATGGAAATTATCAGCAACATTTTTGTTTCCAGAGGTAATTCATCCTTTTTCTTTAACTTCAAAAATATATTTATTTTTAGTGGGTCCCTAGCTTGTTTTTTTAAGGAAGCAAAAGGCCACTGTTGTTTCCTAGATGCACTTCAAGGTGAAGATGTTGACCTGACCTGCAAGGAGAACCAGGTCGGCCTCCTTGAGAGCATCCCGCCTGTTCTGTCGAATGTGGATGGGGCTGTCTTTTCCCAGCATGCCTCGAGACATGCCTCCAAGAAAGCAGGGGGTGCCAAGATCCTCCAAAGCCTTCCTAGAAAGCAGAAAACATATTGGTTCCACATCCTATGTCTCAGAGGAGCACAAAAGGAGACTTTTAGGCTGTGATGAGTAAGGGAACAGTGGGAACCATTTTTTTCCTTTTACCTGATGTCTTCCACTGGTGTTGGAGGAAGTGTGGCTTGGCTCCCTAGCAGAATGACTGGTTTCTTGGCGCGACTCACTAGCTCTACACACCTTTGCACCTGAAAAGCAGCAAAACATGACAAGGGTTTTGTACATTCTTTCTTCCCTGACATTTAGTACACAAACATATGTTTTTCCACATTTCTACATAGTCAAACATTTAAGCAACACCAGATGCTAGGATTACCTGATCATCTGTGGCTTGAGGAATGTGAACGGGAAGTGGGGAAACGTCTCTGGTCTCCCAGGCTCCAGCAAAAAGGTTCATGAGGTGGTTATTGAGGTACCTAAAGAGTTACAGTTAGCAACCAATTAACTGAATGATCATAACTGATAGCAATTTATTGATGCCAATAAATAAACAGCAAACATGTCTGTGACATACCATGAAACCATTTTCCCCATCAGCCCTTTGGGAGGGTTCTTAACAGCGAACTCTTTGGACACCAGGTGGTAGGGGTACAGCGTATCAATGGGAAACTCGATGAAAACGGGACCAGGCGTTCCTGACTGAGCTATTGCCAGGGCCTTCCTGAGCGTAGGCACGATCTCCCGGACTTTCCGGATAGAGGCACAGAATTTACAAAGTGGCTTGAAAAGAGACATCTGGTCGATATCCTGCAGCGCTCCTCTACCCTGTGGCACAAACAGCAGACATGCGTCTCATCTCGATAACCCTAAGAAGCAACATGAACTCAAAACGGAGGTTCTGTTCTGGTATTTTTTTCTTTTTTTAATCATAAAACAAAGTACACCTTTCAACTCTATTTCTTTAAAATTTTAGGACATAATCAAAAGAACCATATTCTTATCTGATTGGAAAAATATTAAAAGCCAAGGTTCATCATGTTATCTATCCTCTAAATAAGGATGAAGGCAAATCCAGTAACTTCTGGATTATTAGGGATGGTCAGGTGCTGGTAAAGAAATCTTTATGATTACTGACAGTGTTGGGAATTGTTTCTGCTGAATCCAAGTAACTAATTACTAGTTATTTTTTTATTTTTTTTAAATGTCAAATAATATGAATAACATTTGTGTTATTTGAACTTTAAATACAACTAGAGGTTTAGTTACAGAATATAGGATGTTTGTTATAAATTCATAAAACAAATTGTTAAAAAGGACTAAACATCTGAAAACACTGAATCTTAATCTGCTCAGGTTTGGTTTGTGTAGTTTGATAAGTTTCATGTTTTTCTTATACAATAAAAAAAGATGCTTTAGAACTTTATATTTGTGCACATTGACAGCCTTCAATTGGTTGTACAATAATTATGATGCTGGAGAAAATGCTTTTAAGCAATTTAACGAGAAAAAAAAAAACTAAATAAAAATCTAAACCATGCATGTAAAGTGGAGTAGAGTAGGTAAAGCACATGTGTTTAATTACAGCGATCAGTCAGTGCTGAGATGATGAGAGGAGTTTCTCTAGATCAACAGCTTCTCTGCTGATCTAGTGAAGTGTTTATTTCTGCTAATAATCAGAAAATTACAGAAACATTTAGCCTTTTACTTCAGCAAACTCTGTAGGAATGCCATGATTTAATCAGTGGCTCTGCTCCATCGTCTCTCCTCTGTGTTTAAGGCATGCCGAACACCCGCCCACAATAGGGATGCTCAGCCAATGGGTGTCACCTATGCCTCTCTCTCAGCTCCCTGCTTGTCCTGCAGTATAAATCTCTCCCGCTGCAGAGAGACCATGTTTATGAAAAGTCTCTGAATGATTGAGTTGTAGTAGATTTCTGGTAATGCAGCTGCATTGCTGGTATGTGAAAAATTACTTTTTTCAATATAAAACTAACACTGATTACTGATCATTTAAAAATGCAGGATTTCCAAAAGGTTGTTGGCCCAAGGCATAAAAATTTGTTTTTATGCCAAGCAGAAAAGACATCACTAACTGTTCTTCATTTTTTTACCTAGGTTCAGATTTAAAGAAGTTCAGTCTCTTATAAAGACCAGAAAATGGCACTGATGTACCTGCAGTAATGTACCAGCAGCTCCTCCCAAAAGCAGCAGTGGGGATTCAGCCATCTGAGCATTCTTCACAGCTGTCACTGTGTTCGTCAGGCCTGGGCCAGCAGTCACCGCTGCTACACCGATAGTACCTGGGACAGACAGAGGCAGAAAAACTGTTTACATTTTTAGCAAGCTTACAGCAAGGCCATGCCTAAACTGAAACCAGACGGTAACATTTCTGTTAGCAGCACCTGTGTTTGACAAGCCCCACAGTCCGCCTGAGTAAAGCCAAACACAAAGACACGCCCAAACAAGACTGCAGTAGCTGTTGCCAACACGGCCTGTGCCAAGCAAGATCTCCTCTAACATGTGTAGCTGAGATGTCCATACCTGAGAGCCGTGCTACAGCATCAGCAGCAAAGACAGCTGTGGCTTCATGTCTGGTGTCGACAACACGGATGCCAACCTTCTCGCAGGCAACCAGGATGGGGGAGATGTGCCCGCCAACAAGGGTGAAAACAAACTTGATTCCATGTGCACGGAGGACCTCTGCAACACTCTCCCCTCCATGACGAGGGCTCTTCGTTTCTGTCTGAATTAAAAAAAAAAAAAAGAGTAAAAATCAATAGAATGCACTGAATACGTTTTTTTTTTTTTTTATCATTCTCCTATTATTGTACACTATAAAAAAAAAAAGACACATTAATAAAAGTGGAAGACAAAAAATGCTTTTGTTTTTTAGTGGGAAAATCTGTCCCCGGTAAAACTCTGCTGCCTGTCCAAAAAGTATTAAAGTAGCAAGTAGTACTACATGGATGAGGGAGTAGCTTTTCCACTCTTAACCAAACATCTTAAAAGATACTTTGTGAGCTAAAAAAGAAAAATCTGTTTCAGAAGAATTATTTTACTGACATGGATCAAGCAAAGAAAACATTTTTGGCTAAAACAATGAAAATTGGTTTCAGTATTCAGTATTGTCCATCGTATATCGAACAAAATGGACGTATAATGGGGGACCATCTTTGTGGACGGCATGTGGTTAGGAAAACTCTTATATCAGCCAGGTGGGGTACATTCAGAAACGCACCGATCTAAAACCTGGATTAGATATCGGAGATCTAATCTGGCGTACTTTAAAGGGTTTGTTTTTGCTGCCCATGTAAACAATTACATTTATATCAGTTTTAAATTGTTACATTTCTTTTTACAACAATGTTTATATCAAATCTGAAGCTTTCACTTAGATGAAAAGATATACGGTTCATTTATTCAACCCTTGGATCACATTGGTATCATTTATATTGGCAGATACGTTCATGCCCAGGTTACGGTATCGGATTGAGAAAAAAACTGAATCAGTGCATCTCAGAGAAAATGTAAAAGAAAAAAACACGGCATGAGATCTTAGTAGCCTTAACAGAACATCTAAGCAACAGGTGATGAGCTGCTGAGTTAAGATTTGCCCTGTTGATTAACAGCCACATCAGCGGCGCATGAAGTGATGAACAAATCATTCCTAGTCCACACTGCTCAAGCCTGTCAGCTTATTCCTGGGATCTGATGTCACTGCAGTTAGCAGGATGACTAACTGTACTGTAAATTATTTCCCCTAGTGGCAAGGGCTTATTCAAAGATGAAAATACCATGAACTTATATCATGCAAAAGTAGTTCAAGGAACACAAGACATTCCTTAAAAACATTGGTTGAACTGACCTTGAGCATGTCTCACATTTTTTAATGTTTTAGAGAAAAAATTGGTGCTACTCACACATCATCTCTGCAAGATCTTTATGAAATATAAATAAAACTCTGAATGGAAACAGTTTTGCAACCCTGCAGAGGTCTATTGAAACAAACATGGAGAAATCAAAGCTCGCAAAATATTTCGAGCTGCTGGGCAGTGTTTATTTAGACCACAATTATTGCAATGATAGAAAATCAACCAGAGGAAATCCATCATTTAAAGCAAACTAAAATGCCCCATTTAATGTTTGCTACATTCATGTGGAAGAAACTGCCAAGGTCACACAGGGGTTATAGCTCTACATTTAAAACTATACAGACAGGAGAACAAACTAACTGCAAATCTTCCAGAATATTTTATCTGTATGGTAAAGCATGGCTGTAATAGCATCATGCTGCATGGAGGCTTTTCTTCAGCGCAGATGAACTGCTCAGAGTTGATGGGGAGAAAACATTTTACAGCCTGCAAGACATTTTAGGCTGAGATTCTCCTTCCAACCTACAGCATGTTTAGGTCAGGAATGGTTTCAATTAAAGGGTATCCATGCAAGATCGGCCTAGCGAAAATTAACAGCTGAATCCGACGGCGTAGAAGGGCTCTCCATCCAGAACCAGGCTCAGTGTGAGTGGCCATCTGCCGACGCCGACTGGGGTTCAAGGAGACAGAAGCAGAGATACAAATAGCAGCTGTAAAAGGCGGCCCCGTCCAGGAAACACACAGCCAGGCAGACGAGCTCCGAGCTCGCATGCCAGAGGATGAAGAGAGCACATCCAGTTAGTCACAGCCAGAGAAACAGGACTACACTGAAAAACAGAGCGATCTCCAAAATCTAAAACAAAGCTGTTGATGGCAGCAGCACAACTGATATAAATGATTTAAAACAAACATTACTTGTTACTCTTGGCTTCAGTTTAATGTTTATAAATATTTATTTCACGTCATGTGCGCCATCAAATGCAGATCATTGGTGCCATCCACATCTAATGAAAACTAGTATCATTGGATGAGTCATATAACGCAAAACTCATTGGTTAGCTATTCGTCAAATTTGTGCTGATGCCAAAGGATATCATCAGAAGCAAGCAGGTGTTCTTCAAACTGCAAACACGAATTGTCTATGCCATGCTACAATGTCGGATTCAGAAAAAGATGTCGAAATGTCTGAAGGGTCCCTAATCCTTGGCCCCATCTCCAAGAATTTTATTATTTATTATTCTATTTATAGTCGAGAAATTGAGCTTTCAATTCATATAGTGGCATCTGGCTGGTTTTTTTTTTAAAGTTACTTTATAATTTTATACTTTAAGTAGTTTTTGGAGCATATTTTTTTTCACTTTTACTTGAGTAAAGAGGTCAAGTTGATACTTCAACTTTTACCAGAGTGTTTTTAAACTGCAGTATCTATTCTTCTACTTAAGTAACAAATTTGTGTACTTTTGGCACTACTGCCTAAAACATGATGTAATAAGAGAATAAGGTGGTTCAATGCAAATCTCCCTGATGGGAACAAAAAACAAAAAAAAAAAGCTGGTCACACTCCCACTTCTTCCAAAAAATCCTGGAAAATACATAGAGGTTAGTGGTTGTGACATCACTAAGTATCACAGAGCATCACAGCAGCATTGGATATAATCTAAAAGCTGGCAATGTTTCCCCGATTTGACAAATCAAGAGCTTTTAAAACCACAAACTTTATATAAACAGTTTCCCCTGTGACATGACAGCCCTTCCCAAGGTCACCTGTCGCTCTCTCCTTTTGACAACAGCAGCTTTTATTGTTCAGGCCTGCAGCTGTGATGAGCTCCTTTGCTTTGTGAAATCCCTCAAACAACCAATGTGCTTAGATAGCCTTTATGAGGCAACCGCAGAGCTGGACAAAGTTTATATGAATACACCTCAGGCTTTTCTTTCCCAACAACAGCACCGACAGCATTACTAAATACTTTTCACACAGTAAGCACATCACAGATGCTTTGATAAAATCCACATATATATATATATAGAAAGAGTTGTAAGTTTTGAAGCTGGTGCTGATTTTTTTTTTTATAACCTACCTTGTGAAACAACTGGTAAATGAAACCGAGTTTGGAGGCAGCAAACACAAGCCCAGCCAGTGCAATGCAAGCAGAGCAGCCGAGGACACTGGAAATACATCCGAACGACTCCATGGCGACATGCGGAAGCAACAAAACCCCGCTTATTAAATCCAAACTCGGCTAAAGAAAGCTAAAAAAAAAAAAAAACAATCTCCAACTATTTCACTTCAGCTGACTTTTTAAGCTAGGCTACAATATTGTAAATGTGAGTCTACAGCTGCTATAGACTCATTTTTATACAAGCTATCTGGAAAGTTCATTTGAAACACAGCGTTCCAAGGTTTGGTTGGCAGAGAAATGCTGTTTAAAGGGGATCCTGACGAGACCTAAACAAGTTTATCTGGCATAAACACTCCTTCACCTGCAGGAATATCAGCCTCCTTATTCAGGTCAAGTCAGCCATGACTACTATACAACTTCCGAAAACTGAATTTCAAGATAAAATTCAACATAAAAGCTACACGTCTTAAGATAAGGGTTAGGATCTATACACGGAAAACGTTGTTCGCTCATTTTCAAATTGTAAATAAAATTACTTTTCAATCAAATTAGTGCTGTCTTTTTCCAATGACAAATAAAATTACAAGGGCATTAATTTTATTTTGAAAGCCAATACTTATTTTCCGTGTACTTAAGTCGCTTCCGTAGTTGAAATATGACTGTCATGAGCCTGTAGTTTGGGAGTAAGGATAGACAACCTCCTTGACCAATGAGAAGTCCTGTTACTTCACACGTTTTATACTACACCTATCAGATCTACGGAAGAGGATTAGGGCCTCTGGAAAAAAAATAATTTTTAAATTTAATTTCAGTTTAATATGATTAATACGGAAGAGGATTAGGGCCACTGCAAAAATAAAAGTTAACTGATTTTTGAATTTTATTTCAGTTTTCAGTGGGTTTGAAGAGGTTAACGTAGATGGGCACAATGAAGGAAGAGATGTGAGAGCACACAGCTTCACTGACAATGTTGTGACTTATTTGGGAGGGCCAGTAACACATTGGTTGAAAATGTAGAAAAATCAAGGTGATCGTAATTTAAAATAGCACAACATAATATTGACAACATCTAAAAAAAAACAGCGACACTGTGGAGATACACATATCATGATGACTTGTGTTTATTGTCAGAACAAGAACACTGCATTGAACAGTATATGCTGCAAAATGTTACAGTTTATGAAACAAAAAGAATCAACAGCAAAAGCATTTAGTCCTTAATATAATTAATAAAAACTGCTGCAAAATAGCAAAAAGAAACATAACTAAAGTGTTTAACTGATTTATACTGCTCATATTCAGTTTCGGTACCAATGATTAATACATTAGTTTCTGTAGATCTACCGTGGCAAAGAGTTATCTGTGTACAGTTGTTACAGCAAACTGCAAAAGGGAAGTTTGTAAACATCAATAGTTTTTCCATATTCAGGATTTTCAGAAAACAGAATTTTGCCACCAACTTTTTCTTCTTCGAAAACGATAATCTGAAGAAGAAAAAAAACAGAAAAAAAACATGTCATATAACATTTAAGTCTAGATCACATCCAGACACACATAACATCTTTTCTCACTATCATTGCAGGGCCTTTCAGTTGACTTCCATTAATTTATACTGCCTGTCATGACCCTAACCCCAACCTAAACTTAACTCACACTTTAGTCCAAAATGTGACCCCTGATTCAAAAGCAGCAATTCCCCTCGTTGGATCCAGGCAGTAGGCTGCACAAGGGGCCAGCCGGCCCCTACTAAGGGTTATATTTTCAACATTATGCCCTACACCCACACACACACACACACACACACACACACACACACGCACACATGCACACACACATCCATCCCCATGCCCACCCCCCCCACCCCCCCCCCCCCCCACCCCCACACACACACACACACACACAAAAAGAAAACTCTACATGAGAGCAAAAGTCAAATTCCTTTTCTTATTCCAAAGATCACTAAAGATAATATGAACCACTTTGGACATTGTACCTGATTTTCTCCACTTCTGAGATAAGGACCTGGGAGATAAAGGAAATGCTGCGGACCGATGCACCAATAACGGCCCAGGTTCTGGCCATTGACAAACACAACTCCTTTCCCCCAATCCTGTGAATAAATGCTTCAAATTGTCACAGTGGAAAGCTCTATTTTTTTAATGTCAAAATTTAAGCCAAAAATTATGCTTAGATCTGGCCTGCAATAGATTTTTTTATTAAATGATACTCACAGGGAGTTTGATGAAGGTGTCTTTTGGAGGATCATCCACAATGAGTTTGGCCATAAAAAATCCTGGCACTGGTGGTGACTTGAAATCGGTTTTCCACTGTGCCGTGCTCAACAATCTAAAATTAATCACACACACACACACATACACACACACATATATACATATGTATATATATATATATATATATACAGATTTATTGATCCAGATACTAAATTAAGTCTAAAGTACTATTCATTTAGGTTCATAATATTTCACATGAGGATAATGTAATAGAAAGATTAAATTAGATAGTAAATAAAAAAAATAAATAAAAGAATCAAACCTTTTTATAAAGCTTGGCTTCAGATCTAAACAGAATATGTTGAACCCACTTATGCGTGTATCATTTAGAACAATGTCCCCCACAATACCTGTATCCAAGATTATAAGACAGCATGTTAGACCAAGGCACACACCAACTTTTGTCTTTTCAAGTTCTGGTGGTACAAGATATTAAAGATCCATTAAAACATTTCTTAAATTGTAAAAAATATTTTTTTCCCAAATAGCTTAAAAAAAAAAGGTTATATGAGAAAAGAAAAGTAAAGCAGCACATGATGTGTAGTAACTGACAGTGATCCTTGAATACCTTTGCGCTGGTTGTCAAGAGCTTTACCATAATTCACTCGTCCGCAGTTTTCAACAAGTACAGCCAAAGTCCTCTCTCTCTGCGAATCACACCGATCAATTTTTCCCTGGAGAGTTCTGATTGAGAATCTTAAAAACTAATGTAAAACATTTCTTCAGCAGAAAAGTGAATATGAACAACCAGGAAGTTTTAAACTTCCTTGTTGTTATAAAAAAAAATCAGTGAGAAAATAAAAACATAATCTAAACTTGGAAATTGTTGTATTTTAAAGCAGCATAAAGATGAGTAAAATGTTTACATCCTCTGCCTATAAGGTCTCTGTTCAAGGAATACGTACTTCGATGTTCACATAATACATGACAAAAAAATACCTCAGCATCAGGCAGCATGATTTCATGAGTCTTGTAGTCCAAACATCCTACATATTGTTTGTCCAAGAAAACCTGGAGAACATCAGTACATTCAGGTTTATATTCAAAAACACCACTTAGCATAAGTCTGAACCGCTTTCTAGAATAAAGGTCCTTGTTTTTACCAGTGCTCTGTCTCTGATGTTGTTCCCAGAGTTCAGAGCTCCTCCACTGCTGATGCTGGTTTCATACAGCGTGTAACCATACGACTGACCACTGTTGTTGTTCACTGGGAGGTTCTCCATGTTTATAGGCCTCTCTGACCTGAATGGCTGTATTGATAAACGGACAAAAATGACAGAATTTAACAAAGTAAACATCAATTGGACTTTATGTGACTGTCCAACACAAAATAGTGGGTGATGTCAAAAGAATCATGCATGGTCTTAAAATATTCTTACATATAAAAACCTGGACACTAGGGATGCACTATATATCATCATTAATAACAGTATCAGCCAATGTTTGTTTTAGGCATATCAGTGTTGGTCAGATAAGTAAAACTGGGCCTCTGATAATCATCCGATAATTATTTCCATGTAGTTGCTGTTCTTATTCCTGGATTGAGAGATACCATGTGGTATTTGTTTGGTTACGTAACGGTGATGCAGCTCAGGATTGCAGGTGATTGACCGAAGCAGAGAATCAATTTCAGCTCTGTTTTCAGTTCTCCATGTTGTCCAAAGGGTATGAAGAATATTAGTCTCAGGTAATGATATAGAACAGTGCATTCCTACTAGACACTATGGAGTCCTCATTTCCCTTAAACATAATTTTTTTCTTTTAATTTTGCCACTATTTTATCTCTAATTCTTTTATGTCTCTAACTGCTTTATACATTTAGAGACAAACTTCCCTTTAGCTTTGCAAAACAGACCAGATTGGCCCATTCTAGTATAGTTATGCTTTGATCCAAACCAATCTTTTGGCTTAACACAGCCATTGTACTGCTTGAGTAATCCACTACTCCACTTTAAAGTATTTTGTTGCATCTAAAGATGGTTTGTCAAACTCAAGTCTTCGAGGGCTTAGACGTGTCTCTTATCAACACGTCTGTATCATATGAGGGAAAAACGTCTTAAAGCTGCTGGACACAGGCCCTTAAGTACTGGAGTTTAAAACCTGCGATCTAAATGGTCCTTTAATATGCTTGTATTAAGCTCTAACCATCAAATACCAGCATACTTTTCCTCAGGAAATCCTCTCCACAGCATGATGCTGCCACTGTCAGGCTTTTAAAACACCCATCATCCTTTTCATATAGAGTAAAAAAAGTTTTGGTCTTATATGATATGAACACATTTGTCCATAATGTGCACTGATTGTGCAGCCACCTGCAAACAGTACATGTTACAGTTTCATTCAATTAATGAACAATGACTTTTTTTTTTGCAACCAATTACTGAAGGTCAGATCTGCAGATTACATCTCTAATGAATCTTCTGTCCACATATTCTCACATTTAGGCTGATGATTTTTTTTTAACCATCTAACCCTACTTTTAACTTCTGCAGAACTGTATTCCTAGGATATTGGTTTGGTCCTTTTCAAAACTGTCCACCTACATTATATAACTACCTACCTATAGGACTATTCCAAAAAAATCCAGCAAAGCATGCATTGGTGAAAAAAACTTTTAATCTTTTTGTTTTACCATTTAGTATTCATACCAATGGAAATGTGCTTACCTTCTCTGTGAACTGTATGCTGTCCCACAGAGACAGATTCTGCTGTGTGAACACTGTCTCATAAGCCTTTCTCTCCTGAGGAGAAGGCACTTCAGGAAGAGGCTCAGCTGGAACACAAACAGGCAAAACATTTCATTAAAACCAATCATACGTCCTACAGCCTTTAATTATAACAATAATTTTATTACCAGGTGTTTATTTCTTCACATTCAAATTAAATGGTAGTTTAAATGAGATCCTAAAGAACTTACAGTTGTACCGACTGAATAAATCTCTCAGAACTTCATATTTTTTAGTGTAGCCTCCAGCTTCAGAGAGTGGAGCATCGTAATCTGCCAAGAAACCATTCATCTTACAAGAATCCCATAAGATACATTTATTTATTGTTGTAAAGTCTATTTGAGTTCTGCGCTCTAAAGTCCCTTTCCTTACCATAACTTGTAACCTGAGG